TATCGTTATCGGACGATAGAATTCTTATATCGGGATATGAGATTTTGGTCATATCGCACAGCCCTAATGTCTGTATGAGTGAACTGGAAATGCCCCAGAAGACCAAGTCTGATTAATCAAACAAGACAACTCTTCACTGATGCAATACTTGGATTTCTTTCTTATTTTTTTTTTTTTATATAGGCTTGCCTTAGGTTGTTGGTAATATTTTCCTTGATTTTTAAATATGTATAATCGTGATAATAATTAATAGCTCTGAGCTGTATGAAGGGAAAGAAAACTGGTTTAGGGTTTGTTATATTACAGAATGTACTGGATATATGTGGGTAGATCTCAGTGATATTTTATGCATGGAACCTTTCCAACATACAGCAGTCGAGAGACTGGCAGAAAGAAGTGATATTTTATTGGCTTTGGTAGGTTCTGAGTATTTACACCAGGATCTAGATGATTCTAAGGCAAAGGGAATTATAATCCTGTTAAATTTTTAAAAAGCAGCTTAGAAACAGAAACTTTGTTACAAAGGCGGATAGGAAGTCAACTTCTAAAACTTAGTGTGAACTAAGGTTACGGCTTCAGCAGAGGGTTAAGGACTCTTGCAGTAAAAATGGCCAACAGAAGCATGTTTGGTGTGCGTCACTGTTGAAATCTCACAAGGAGCACTTGTAGCATTGTTCGGTTATTGCTACAACGTAAATAGCTACATTGTAAGACTTTAACGCAATTGCCTAATTTGCTGTTATGTATAATTTTCAATTTGCATCACTGTCAGACTACAAAAATGTTGCCATGTTTGACCTCTGTTCCTGCAGTAGCAGCGGTATGATGGTGGGGACAGGAATTTACATCAGCTGACGAACATAGAATACCTTACAGATAGAAAGTTCTCTGTTGCAGCAATATTGAACACAGCCCTGTACTATGTATCTGTGACTGAAAAAATCCCGATAATCATTTGGTCAGTTAAATAGCGTGAGCATGACTACTACCCTTTCTTTCCAAATTCGTTCACTGTGGGCACCTAGGCTCTTACTAGCTGATATCTGCAGATTGCAGAATGCAAAAGGCTCTGTTGGAGGATATAAATGTTTGAAATCTTATCCAAAATATAGAAAGGAACAAAAAAAAATGCTTCTGCCGCAGGCATTTTGGGCATGTGCTGGTGAAAATCTACACGGCAACTGATAAAGAGGTTTTAAGTTGTGATTGAAACACACTTGTGAGCTTATTTCCACATCATTATTTCAGCAATCAAGCATTTGGCCAGAATTACAAAAAAGCATTTCATTTTTAAAGCATCACCCATTGGGTTTTTGTGAAACGAAATTTTACAGCAGTTTTGTCAGATCTCTTCAGAGACAGGCAACAAGAGACATTAAATAGTCTTTCAGAACAGCTTTAAGAAATGAGATGACTTGAAAGAGAATAGCCTTTATGTGCATTAATGTTTTGGGAGATTTTTGCAATGTGAACAAGTCAGATTTGTTCTCATTAAAGTTAAAGTTATACTTCAAAGGCACGACTTCACTATATTTGTTATTTTAATGAAAGTTGTTGTTGCCTCTAAGTAATATTAAAAGCCACCCCACAACAATCACCAGGCTTAAGTAGAGTTGAGTTGCACATGGAATAATAATATTAGTCACAATTTTTATATTGTGTAAGTTAGATAGAGATACTGAGATACTGTATTGCATTTTGTGCTGAAATGCACATGTTTCGAGAGCTATGCCTGAATGTATCGAAGAGAAGAGTGTTCAGTGTTCGGTGACAGAGATGGTTTGATACGACTAATGGCCCTACGCTCATTATCGCGGGTGTCGTGCGCTGATTTTGACGTAGCTTCGTGTGTTGCATGCCAAAATCTTTGTGGTGCTTCAGCCAGTCAGGTCGTGTACCTCGCCATCTTTGTAACCGGGCGCCGAAGCTGGGTTGAAGACACGAGTGTACGATCGTGTCGGGTTTTTTACGGCCACTTTAAAGATATTCCAGCACAGAAGCTCAGAGACTTACAGATATACAGAGGAAGATTTTGCAACTTTTTGAAAACTTGAGAATTTGTGGTGAAAACTTTGCAAAAAAAAGTCAAATCTTTGCTTCTGGTTTTGGCTTATTTTCCTTGTATATCAGTACTTATGTGCCAGTATTATCTGAGTTGTGACACCTATCATTCAGGAGAATACTGCAATTTGAGACGATGTTGCAGTGGCGAGAAAAGCGACAATTGGGCCGGAAATACTGGGGCCTTAAAGAAAGCATCCATGTACCCAGTGAATGACCATCACTGAACAGAGGTGGTGGGTTAAGAAACCAGTAAACAGATAACACCTTTTTCTTCTTTCAGTTGTGTCAAAAATGTTACCACATACTCCACAATTACCAGTTTAAAGGTTTTGATAGAATGCATTTTTTATACTTGTACTAGCCCTTGCTGCTAACCTGGCGTTCTAATTATTCATAATTATAACATATTTATAAGCTAAATGTTAATGAAGTTGAGTGCAGTGATTTTGTTTTGAACTCTGGCCCCTCCGTACTCTTAACAAGGAAAAAAGGACTTCAGGAAATTGCAATTTGAAAAGAAAGTATTGAGGTCTTGCATGTATAATTCATTTATAGAAAGGTTTTCTAAAAATGTAAAAGGTTTTAAAAGACGTTTCCCTAAATTTCATTAAATCTATGAGGAAAAATTGCATCTGGATTTGTCTGACATTTGACTGTCCAATACTCTGGTATTGAATTTGAAGAGTATGGCATGATGGTGCAGCAGTCAGCACTGTTGCCTCAGAGCAATAAGATCCCCGATCAGGCCATCTGGAGTTTACATGTTCTCCAAGTTCCTGTGTTCTCCCAAAGTACTCCAGCTTCCCCCGACTATCCAAAAGCATGCACGTAAGGTGATCCTATAATTGTCCGTAGAGCATGAATGGTTATGTCTGTGTTCCTGCTGTGGACTGGTGGTCTGTCCAGGTTGTACCCTGCCTTTTGCCCTATGACAGCTGGAATAGGCCCCAATGCCCTGTGATTCTGATTTGAGCCACAGGGCATTTGAGTCACAGGGTTACGAAAGTGGCCGGGTAGAATTTTACATGCTGAAATGCTATCAAAAATGCTGTTGCTAGCCTCTCTTGCTCTCTGTTGCTCTTACTTTACTCTGGTTGTGAGCCTGTTTGTGTAAGCCATGCCAAAGAGATAGAAGTGCGAGTGACAGGATATTACAGCAGCAAAAAAATAAATAAAAAAGATAAAAACCTTTTACACTGTATGAACAAACAGAGTCACTCATAACTCGCAGTTAATGGCTGTTTATGGCCTTTGAAGCCTCTGCTTCCTTGTGCCAGACATTTTTCAGATATGAATCACTGGCAGTCAGGTAGCACAAGGGGTCAGGAGGGGTCAGGGGATTAATATAAACTAGTATTAGGCTCACTGTCAAACTTGGGAAAACACTGTATAGTATTTGCAAATGACCTAAGTTGTGTATAATTAGTGGGCCTTATATGAACTTAAATCCAATCTCACTTATGCCAACAATAGCAAAAAAATTAAGCAAATCTGAAGAATTACATCTAAGGACTCTCATGTTCTCCTATCTTCATTCATGTGGTTGAAGATAGAAATCTTCATCCATCTACAAGAGCTGCAGGTTCTGTTATCATAATAGAGCTTTCTGACAGATGGAAAACATTTAAACGAGTATGTTACAGAAAAATAAATAGCAGGAACAAATAAACTCCAGAATGTAGTGACATAGAGTTTATCCATCCTGCTTACTTCATCCTTACTTTGAGGCAAACTCAGTTTAAAATAAATAAATAAATAAAATGTCAATCAATCAGCAAATATTCATTCATTTATTGATTTGTTTTTATATGCAAATTGCAAAAGAATAGAAAATAATTCTTTTGCAAGAAAGAATAAAGCATAGGCAGTACACTGCTGCCTATGCTGCACAAAAAACAAAACAAAACTGACATTTCATTAATGCACTCAGTTCAACTGATTCTTGGCCTGAAGACTGGTGTTTTACAAGATGTAGCATTTCTAATCTTGTTTACGTTGGTATGTTAACTACCTTAGAAATCATCCAAAAAACTCGAGGGTGCCTTTCATATCTCGGTCTACTTCTGTTTGTTACCCTTTTCTCAGCATGTCCTGTTTTTTGTTTTTTTCTTCTTTCTTTTTTCCCCCTCCTCATTTTTCCAGGCATGCACCATGTCGGGAGACAATCAACCCGTACTACGTCAACACTGGCCATGTTATGGCTCCTGCCACCAGCGCCAATGACAGTGAGCAACAGAGCATGTCCAGTGACGCAGACACCATTTCCCTTACGGACAGCAGTGTGTATGTATTTTGGCTTCATCCAAACATTTCACACACAGTTGTACCAGATAAAAAAGGCTATGCAGGTTACAACTTTTAGGGGAATGACAGTTTTACCTTCACCAATAAAATAGACAGGATCCTATTATATGTGGGAATAGTTTATATTTTAGTGCAACTTGGATTTCAGTGTTTTTAAGTCATAGCCAGTTGTGTGCTTTTGAATGAAGATATGCAAAATAAAGGCTTTTAGTTGCAGATATGACACTGGGGAATTCAGCCAACAAAGCTTCAAAGCATGCACAACTGGACAAAATGTTTTTGAAGCTGAATGGATTAGAGGCTGTTATCAGCTAACTGATCCAGGACTTCCAGAACGGAAAAAAACCCAGAATGAGTAATATCATATAAAATTACACTCTTCTGCATGTGATATGTGACCATAATGTGCAACGCCGCTTGTGCAGAAGGGACACTATTAGCCTGTGAGCATACCTGTCCTGCTTTACTAATTAATCACTATCTAGGTGTTCATTTTAGGCACAAATTCTGTGAAAAGCTTTCAACTTCAAAGCTGCCTCTGTTGTTTATTCATGAGCATGTTTTATGAAAATGTCTTTGTTTAATTCCAGAGATGGGGTTCCACCCTACAGATACCGCAAGCAGCATCGCCGCGAGATGCATGAAAGTGCCAGAGCAAATGGGCTAGTGCCACTACCTCATATTCCAGTGAGTTATTCATGGGTTATTTCCCTTTTCTCTCCATTTCTGCCTCGACACCTTTAGCTGTCGGTTCCTGGCTTATTTTTCTCTGCTCCGCCATTGGAGATGTGCATATTTAAGCTCTGCTGTGTCGCGGGGTCCTGTGATGGAGTATAAGAATAGCTGATGGTGAAAGAGTAGTCTGTCTAAATGCAGCTTGATGCTTTCCTAAGCTGCGTGCGCTTGAAGCCTAGTAGACATGAACCTTTCCCCGTGACAGCCTGATGCCTCCCTCTGCAGCTCCTGCTCTCTCTTGGTAGGAAACTCGAGCTCTAATTAGGCCTTGGAGTAAAGCGTCAAATTAAAATACCTCATCCAGCCTCTCATTAAGATGTAAGAATTGACTATATAGAAGAGCCCAAATCTCTACCCCTAACAAATTACTCTTCAGTTTTTTCTTAATAAGAAAAAACAGAGATTATGTTTTAAATATGTTTAAAGATGAGTCTCTTGTCAAGTTATTTTTGCACTTGCTGGATTCAAATCGGGGGGCACAGTTTGAATAGGTAAGATTGCAGGATAATTGCATACACTGACAGGAGAAGAAATTGTACACTTTATAAAACAACCCAAGACTAAAGTTGCAGTTCCTGTGTAATTAAGTAGAATTTCAGTAGAATTTATTTTATTTGAAATGACAATGTAATTATATTAACATACAAATACTTAAAGGTAGGTACACTAAAAAAAACAATCAAACAAGGAAATAAATTGAAGTGGTGGAAAAGTGGAAGGAAAACATGCAGTGCCTAATATTATTTAAAACCTTATTTAAAAGGACAAAAAACAACATTAACTGTCTTTCTAAGGTGTTGGGCTAATACATGCTGCCTCAACAGCTTTAGTGCTCATTGGTGTTAATTCTCGAGGTCCCAGGAACTCTACTGGACAGTTCTCCCAAAGCCTCCATTTAGAGTTTTTGTGACTGTGGTGTGGTGTGTTAAATCTGCAGTCGGTTAACAAGGTTTAAATATGCCTATGGTAAAAGCAGTAGCATATGTTTTACATCATTTTGATACTCATCCCAACCCCCACAAGACCTACGCATGACTGTCTTTCAATTCAGCAGACTACTTCCATCATGACAGACATGAAAGACGAACACCCGGAAAAGCAGGGCTCTAGTTGGGCCCAGCTATGCCAGAAAAATGCTCCCACAGCATAACAGCTCTGGTGGATCCCCCTCACTGTAGGGACCAAGCATTCCTGCTTTAAATTGAATTTGTCACATATCTGTAGAATGAGGCTGTTATTAAATCTGGTCTAAATCTCTTTATGTCCTCACAAACAAAGACACCTTTATCAAATATATGTATGATAATGTAAGTAAGTAAAATAATGTACGTGATGTATTTCTAAGATAACTGAGAGAAAATATAGAAAATGAGAAAATGTGATTTGATCTTTATGTTAGTTAAATATATGAACTACATTGCCCTGTTGTTTTTACAACAGGGCAATGTACAAAAAAACAGCCCTAATCAGTGCTAACAGCTGACCTGATTAGCTATTTTTGTGGGGGGCAATAATGCACAATGAACATTCATTCTTTAATTTGTTATTCATACCTTTTTTTCCACTTTAAGGTTTACTGTGTTGTGTTTTTTTGTGTTTAGTGCCGACATGGGACAGTTTTCCAATTTCGTTGCGTTATTGTACGAGGTATGACTGTGCAATGACAATTAAGAGTTATCTTATCTTACTTTTATGTCAGAGAACCTCCTTAAGCAGCACAAACAATAATGTTGTGTCATTTTATTCCAACAAAACAGTTTTAGCTCATTAAAATGATCATTAATATTTTTAGTTCATGCCTTAAAACTTCAATAAGATTAACGTCTGGTCATTTCTTGTATTTTTACCATTCATACTTATGTTCTTTCTGTCATTGTCTTTTTCCATTAGTCAACCTCTCCTAAGGTTGTGCTGCCCTGATATTCTTCTGTAAAAGTTCTTTGTACAATATGGCAAGACACTTGTCAATGAAATATTATTAACTGAATTGAAGACTAAATGATTAAGATACCAAACTGGTGAGTCCCTACTGCTGGGGAGCAAACCCAGATCTTCAGAAATAATTACTGTTAATACTTATTTTAAGGTTTTTCATGGTTCACACCAATCAGTCTTGAGCAAATACTCAGGCTTATTTGATTATTTGATGCAAAGGTTAACTCCTAAGTCATTTTAAGAGTCGCACAGAATGCATTACCTTGATAGAATTTGCAGCAGTGAATGAAGCATACTGAAAAAAAGCCCATCAGCTTTAGTGATATTTAGTGGTAAAGTTGTGGCACATTCGCTAATACTTAAATTTATTATCCCTTTGGTGTTTTTAACACTCAACACCATCTAGTCTAATGTCTTCCTGCTTATGTTTAAGCACTTTAATGTGATTGCTGAAAGGATGTTAGAGGCCAAGGTGGGAAAACATCCTGGGACTGCTGAAGTGGCTTTGACAGTAATGCAGCAGTGCTTACAGTTTGACATTTCTTTCTCCAGCGCCCAAACCGGATTCCAAAGGATATACACGTGGAGCCAGAAAGGTTTGCTGCAGAGCTGATCAGGAGACTGGAGGGCGTACTGAAAGAGAGGGAGGCCCAGGAGAAACTAGAGGAACGACTGAAGCGAGTACAGTTGGTATGTTCTCTCTGTTTTCTGAAGAAGCGTATGCTATTGAAAGAACAATCAGAAGCTGTATTTTGTTAATTCCGTCTAATTTATATGAATAAGAAGCATCCTTTAGCGGTTTCTACAGAGGTTCAGGCTGAATGGAACCACGTTTTCACTGAATGACCTCTAATATAGTCTCAACAGTGCAGCGCTACTGGTTACACATTCAAGTCATGTGAGGAAGTGTTAGGAGCTGAATATTGCTACTGCTGTGTAACACAACTGAAGAACTTTAGTGATGAGGGGATCGGGGAAATTAAAGTATGAGTTCCTAAAGTTAAAAATGCTTTGGGGCAAAGGAACAATTCTTTTTTTATTTGCTATATCATCAGTAATATGTCAGCTAATAATGAAAAATGCAGTACAGTGACCTAAAGAACTAAACTTAAAAGATTTTTTCATTTGCAAAGCTCGAGTCAGAGATTGTTTGTGATTGCAACATGAAGGGCTGGTTTTAAAGATCACATTTAAAGTCCTCACAGTGCAAATGGTAAAATCAAAGAGCTCTGCTTTCCCAATTTACTAAGTTTGGTTTACTTTAATAAAAGAATACTTGAATAGATTGTGAAAGCTTATTGAAAAGCAGATTGCTGGTTGAAGTGTAACAGCAGATTCTACCGATGCTTATTTCTGAGCCAGACTGCGAGGTGTGTGCTCGGCCGTTGTGCTTTAAGTCTTCAGTAACAAAGGAGACTTAAATCCACCTGGCCTTAATGAAATTAATGAGGCCAACCATTTGAATAGGGAATAAAAAAACATTATGAATCACTTGGAGAATTCTGTCCTTGGCCTGTCAGCAATCTGGCTTTGTCTGTGAATCAGATGGAGCACCTGCACATGCCGCCACTTGTAAGCCTGGAACAGTGAGCCGCCTGTTTGATGTCACTTGAATGTTGATGAAATGGTTCCTGAAACCACAAATGAAATCTCCCTCAGTGTACGGTGCCAAGTATTAAGTCTCAAGGCAGGCAATTTATGTGGGTAGCTATGAAAGGAAAGAAGGTGCCATCACGCAGCTGAAGGTTTGGCCTGTGGAAACGGGAGGCGAGGACGCCATTCATCAAGTAATACTTTGGAAATGTGAGCTTGGGTTTTTAGCTTATAAATGATGATATCAGAAGCACTAAAATGTGATATAAATATGATGTCTGTAGCATAAAATTAGATTTTTAAGGGTGTGCCATCTTGTTAAAAAAAATCCAAAATCGGATTCCATGACAATGCAACTTTTCAGCTTTCCACAGCTCCGTCATGCATTCTGCACAAAATTTAATTAGGACTTCACATAATGTAATTATTGTGCGGAGTAAGCAAATTATTGGCAAAAGATCGTGAGCAGGGCTCTCATTGATTCCTTGAAATATCTGCTCGTCTCTTCTTCATTGTTCTGTGTGGAGTTTGTGGGCTCGGCTAGCGCAGATATCCGGATGGAACGCGGAGATGTAAAGAAACATCAATTACTTAAAAACTTGCCAAAAAATACTTGGCTGCATGGGTCATATTTTGCAATACAGCTGCATCTGAGAAAGCCGTGGGCATGAGAAAGTTAACTGCGTGTAGGAACAGGCTGAGTTTCCTTTTCACACAGTTGGAGTAAGAGGATGGCGAGCACAGAGGCAGCGCTCAAAAGATGGTTTGGCATGTTTACAAGTGAAGATCTATTGAACGGTTGATTTAATTATTTGACATAACTGGCATAAAAGGTTTGAGCTTGTGCTGGTTAAAAATGAAAAGTAAAATCTGTCTTTCCATATATACATATTCTCTCCTTTACCTTCTTTCTCTGCCAAAATGTTCCCGACTTTATACAGGAGGCAAAATAAAAGGCGTATGGTGCTCATTTCTCCACCTACAATAAAATGTTTTCTCTTTATCCAAATTTCCCCGGGGAATTAGGATGAATATATTATTATCAGGGTGAAACTGAATGCTTAAGGTCTTTACTGTCACCCTGGACAACCTACTGGCATGACTGTTGAGCTGTTTTTTTTATGTTGAGATTACAGGGGGCAGTAGGATTACATGATGACTGTGTCATCAGTTTAGCTAGGTTTAACCAAAAGAGCCGTTGTTGTAAATAGTTGCTCATTTTTGTTTGGTGTAAACAATATGTGTTTGAATAGGTGGAGAAATAGTTTTAAAGTGCTCATGTAAATCTGCCCTTTGCTTAATGCTGCTTCGTTTAAATAGCCACGGGGCCTTATTGTATAGTAGTGAAGCATGCTAGTGCTAAGCTTAAAGATCATTCACATCAAGTATTATGTGGAAACAAGTTAGAAGAGGGGAAATTATATATCATTCGTGATCCTGTCATGATCGGTAATCTCTGATAGGGATTTATTTTTTCAACCACGAGTATCAAATAAAAATGCTCGAACTCAAGTGTGGATTTCTAGAGACAAGTTTACATTAAAAAAATCTAGTAATGTGTTATGATGGTTTGTTATGTGTCAGTATTTCATTTAGAATAAAGTATTTCTGTTAACAGAGGCGTGAGATCCTGGGCCATATAGGAATAACAACATGACCATGCAGTTCTCGACTGGCATTCTCCGTTCACTCTTTCCGTTTAACATTGCACGTCCTGCACTTCTTCCAGTGCCTGCTTATCAAAACCTATTATGAAAGCCTGCAGCACCCCACCCTTTAAATCCCCCTGGAGACGAGTCTGTCAGAGAGTTTTGTCCCAGTCAGTCAGCGCTCGAGCTGTAGCAGTTGTGCTTGTCATGACACGAAGCCACAGAAATATGCTATTTGGATGCTGAAACGGTTGTATTCATAGATTGTCTCCAAACTGCTGCATTAAGAAGGAGAACACACATTTCAACTTAAGGTTAAACCTGCCATCTGCAGGTTGAATTAAGTACTGCAGCTGCAGCCTGGTGGAATAGCATCAGTTGTGCTGATAGTGCACATGGAACATAGCTGGTGAATAAATAAAATGCATGTTTACATATTTGCTATATGATTTAAACATTCATTGTAACCCATACTACGAGCATATATACAATATTTATAAATTAGGTTAGCCTTGTTTGTGTTTTCTTTGTGTTATATCTTGTGTTTATCTTTATTTAGATTTTTATTTCAAGGTTTTATCTTTGACATTGTGTGCATATCTGTTTTTGCTAAAGGAAGAGGAGGCTGACGAAGTCATGATGGCCACAGCAACATCATTATCCAGTCACAGGTTCCCCCCTGGTGCTTATTCACAGAATTACAACCCCCGCTATGCTGACAACACCTACAGCGCTCCTTTTGTCGGAGATGCTCATGAAGAAAACCCAGAGAGCATCTTGGACGACCACGTGCAGCGAGTCATGAAGACCCCGGGCTGCCAGTCGCCGGGAACCGGCCGTCATTCTCCGAAGTTGCGCTCACCAGACGGTTTCCCAGGGATAAAAGGGATTGGAATGCCAGGCCAGGGTAAACATGCATCCAGGCACGGTTTCAAGGGAGAAACTAGCCACTTGTACCACCACAAACACCATAGCCACCACACCAGCGTGGGCAAGCCCAAAGAGCAGGTGGAAGCTGATTTAGTCACGCATGTGCACGGGAGCTTTCCCTGGAGCATCGAGTCAAGTCATTACGGATCAAAGTCTCGCAGCTATGCAGACGGCATGGGATCCAACCCCATGGACTATGCAGGGTACATGTAAGGAACAAACTGAGAAAAACTGAATTCACACATGAAAAATACCTGTTGTTTTCTACTTATCGGTTGTTTATTTTCTATTTTGCAGCGGGAGAGGTGGCACACAGTGTAAAAGAGCATCAAAGAGAGGTGAGGAATTGCGGCCTTATGACATGCCGGGGCCTGGAGAGGAGATGGAGAAAAACCAGAAGATCCTTTTGTGGCTGATGGAAGGACAGAAAGAAATGGTTCAGCATAAGAGAAGCCCATATGGGTCAGTGATTACCTTTTATTAGAAAACAT